AGTGTAGCCACTACAACTACCCAGCAACAACTAAGCACATCAGTGTGTTTTTAACGTTATTCTCATCCTAAATCCAAAGCACAGCACTATACCAGCTACTAGGAAGAAAATTAACTCTATCCCAGCCAAAACCAGGACAGTATTCTGGAACACAGGAATCCTAAAGACTGATTATAGCACAGGCACTTACCAAGATTAAGCCTGTTTAAAATTCTTTATATTTGCAGTCTATTTTGTGGCTTACAAATTAGCAACAAACACAATACTTATCATCAGATCACTCAAGAATTTAAGGTCCTATACTTCCTTTTTTTTTTTTAATTCTGTCTTTCACAGCCCAGAAGTGAAATGGAAGGGAATGAAATTTTTTCTTAGCCCGTTTACAACATGGGGCAAGCAGCAAGGGTAACCAGACAAGACACAGAGAACTGTATCACAGGAATTCCAAGGCAGACACAAAATAGTTTGTACTGATACCTTTACAGAAGTGCGAAGAACTGAAAGAATTATTAATAGCACCTTTCTTGATACAGTAAGTCCAAACAGGTGCACTTTTGTAATTTCCACAAGAGCTTTGATTTCTCCTGAACCCAGACTAAAACTAGATGAGAAAACTGTTTACAACCCCATTTCAGTGTCATGTTGTGTTTGTTTTTATAAACAGTCACCTTTCACAGGCCAGTGGAAAAGAACATTAGATTTCTAGTTCAGTGTTTTCAGTCCCAGTGATTCCACTGTCAATTACAACTACTTGATTTGCAAACTTTTTAACAATTGCATTAGGCAGAACAAGTGTAGATTTAACCTGTAACTATTTTTCTCAGGCTAGCATGTTAATGCAACATTTAATTAAGTGAAAGGTTATGCATGCCCTCATGTTTTAAAAGCATCCTAGTTGCAGGAATAGAAAATAATAGGGCTGAACAGGTGAATGAATCTTGGAAAATTAAATTGGTTTCCAAACTTGTCAAGGAAACCCCCCAAAATATGTTCATTCTGGTTAATGGGGAAAAAAGGCTGAAAAGATAAGATACCCTAGGCAGGTTACTGTTAAATAGTCTCTGCAGAAAACACAGCACAGCTGTAAGAATAGAAAAGAAAAATTCAATTATTTAAAAAAAAAATCACATGCCAACCTAAAAATACAGCTTAACTTCTTTTTGCTTTGAATACACTTAATAACCTTCATGTCAGAATTTAAAAGTGTGTCTTTAAAAAAAAAAGAGTAGTTTTGTTTATTTGCTTTGAAAGTGGACACCGAAGTGCATTTCTCTGCAAAAGCCGGTTCACCTCCCATCGCCCCTCGGCCTTTCCTCCCACACTTCCTCGCATTATAAGGGTCCCTAGCTGGGGAGGCCGCTGTGACACAAGCCCACACAGGACAGGCCCCGACGCGGCGGGACCCCCTCTTCCTCCGGCAGGGTCAGAGGCCCGGTCGCCCCGAGGCCTAGCGCAGGAACGGCGGACCCAGGCCGGG